CAAATTTATATTATCAATACATGCTATGCGACTTTTTTTGATCAATTATTCTCTTCTTAGATTTGAATGTAGTGTTATTTGCTTTCTGAGTTTTGAAGGCAAAACAAGTTTCGTTTTGTTCTTTTGCAAAGTTTTATCAGGATCCGTCATTAGGGGACCTCCCTTGTTTATTTATTTATTCCCTGGCTTTTCTAAAGATCTTAGCACTTGGAGTAGCTGTTAACCTGAGCTATTCTTGTGTGATTTTTAGGAGCTAGGGTTGTGTTTTGGGACTTGAGAGAACCATTCATATTTAATTTATATCACGGTGGTGTTGAGGGTGCACGACTGGAAACTACGCTTCCACAGTTTGATAGAGTAAGACATTCAATATTTCTCTATTCCCACATTCTCCTCTGTATCTCTAAATACAGGAAAGAAAAAGATCAAGGGATTGCATATTTTCATTGAATGCCTGGTCTGAACGTTGGATCTTTTCAAGCTAACTTTATTCATTACATGTTTTGTTTTTTAGGTCCTCAATAATGTTTGCGCTCTGATTGATGACACCCTCAGAGACATTGTAGTGAAAAGTATTTTTAAGGCATCTCTGGTACAATCTCATTCTCATGAATTTTCTATTAATGATTCCATTTGTCCAGTTCCGACTCTCTGATTTCACTGGATAGGAAGGTTATGCTTGGGTGTTACTAGATGGAGGGCCTTCATGTGCATTTTCTGATTTTGATGTTGTCATGATGGAAGATGACCTCAATATATTAAAAGTAAGTATACTCTCCTAACCTTCTTGTTACTAGTGGTCATTATGCTCTCAAGCAGCATAAGTTATTTAGCACAAGTTATTTTTGAGGACTGACTAACATGATTGCTACTAAAACTCCTTGCAATTTCACTTGCATAGAATACTTTCCATGGAGTACTTTTCCAATTCAAAATGATGCCGGAATGAAAAAGTGATTTACACGGGAAAACAAATGTTGAAGACTTCGTTTGCCTCATGCTCATATAGTTGGTCACTGGATTCCTTCTTTTAAACAGGATGTGTCATAAGTTCTGAATCTCACCCTAATCCAATATTGATGTACAAGTTTCTGATCAGAACTTAGTGCACACTGGATGTCATATAAATATATCCAAATTCCAACAGTGATGTACTTAATCTCAGCTAGTCTTGCCTTCATTGATCTTTTCCTTCCAGTATGTTTAGTTCTCAGCTAAATCTGTATTCAGTAACTATGTGTTCAGAAACAAAATTTATGTTTCTTTCACTTTCTAGGACTTGTTTGTTGCTGAGGGGGAAGGGCTTCCCCGATCATTAGTTGAAGAGGAAGCAAGATTCGCTCATCAAATTCTCAGTTTATTTTCTCTCCGGGTTTGTTAACAACTGATTAAAGCTTTTGGCCTATTTATATGTGTGTGTATATGCATACTGTAGGACCTTTTTGATTCATTGGTTTTTATTAGCAGGCTGAATCTGTGATCCAATTGTTGATGACTTCTAGTGAACACAGTTCAATAGGACTTGAAGCACATAAATATGGGCACAGACATCTGGGAGATGCACACACCTTGATACGTGTTTTATGTCACAAGAAGGAGAGAGAAGCTTCGAAATTCTTGAAGCTGCATTATCACCTTCCAGCATCATCAGGTGCGCCCTTTCTAATTCTACTAGTTTTTTATGGTTTTCCAAAATGCCAATATGAGGCTTTGAGCGATTGAAGATCTTTATTATATTGTCAACTAATGGATTATGAACTTGGTTAATACTGCAGTCAAACGGAGGACTCAGTAGTAATTAAGTGTGTTTTGAAATGCATAGAAAAAAAAGAACAAAAGATAATCAATTAGAGTGTAAGAGTAAGAAGGGGGCTGTTGAATGTTTATGTCCTAACTTTTGAAATACGGGGAAATTTGAGGTTTGCATTTTTATAAATCACTGTCTATCTTACCTTTCCTTGAATTTCCCCCATTTGGCCATAAACAATACGTATTCCAAATACTCTTTTTCAACATCAACTTCGACTACTAAAAGTTAATGAACTATCCTCTGCATGGACTTCCATTCTGTATTTCATTTCAAGAACTATCTGAAATTAGGGTTCGTTTGTGCTCTATAGTGGTCTGTTGATCGCATGATTTTCTTGGAATATTGCCATTTTGACACAAGTTTGGATGGTTTAGTATTTTCTGCTGCTGAAATCCAATTTTTGGAGTGCAGTGTATGATGAGGCTGCAACGGAGGATGCCTCTGTGAAGTCGCCACTTATGGCCGACCTTATCAAAAGGAGTGCTTCGTTTCGTTGGTCTGACAAAGGAAGTAGCAGTTTCAGATCTTTTAAGAAGAAAATCCAGGAAGCAACATCAGATTTTAGGCATGTGGGATGGTGATGATGCTATCCTATTCTTGGTGCTATCCGTCCGACGACTGGTTCTATAAACAATGCTCTCTATATGCTGCACAAAAAGTGTCGGAAATGTTAACTGCATTTTAAATTAGAGCTGTATGACGGTGTGAAAAGTGCTTGTATGTCAAAGAAAACCATTTGCTCATAAGACAGAGGTAACACTCCATTAGGGAGTATGCTCAGAAAATTTTGCCATGTTTGCTTCTAACTGTGAGGTTGTAGATCGATGTTATTAACTCTGGGGCTCAAAATAAAACTGAAAGAAACATTCCCAGATTATATTATGCCTACATATACCTAAGAAATGAACATGATGCCTATCTAACACAGCATATTAATGAAATTTGACATGTTCTTTCTATTCCATCACAACCTGTTCAGGTAGTTCTCTCCGCCGCCTGCCATTGTTGCAGGATTGCTCCTACTTTTTTTAAGTTTGAAAATAATGGGGATCTAATAATTCAAAAGAGTAGAATTATCAGTACGTGCCCTTATAATTGGGTCTCCCTTCATTTATTAGTACCGTCGACTATTATCATGACTTGTTCTTTAGCTCTGCATAATGCAAAATGTTTATAAATAAATAAAAACCCAAAGTAAGAAAAAAAAAAAGAAGAGAAAATGTCATTGTATAGTCGCCCTAAAAAATAATAGTTGAAAAATGTATGTGTATATATATGTTTATATGTATAAAATTTTTGTATGTTATATATAAAAATCATACAAATTTTATACACTTTTTTGGCTACCTAATATAAATAGTTTCTGGCACGGATAAAAGTGATAATACCCCTATAAAAGTTTCTTAAAGATTTTTACTAGTACAAAGCTATCTCTAGTGGAGGGGTTCAATTGAATCTCCTCCGTCAAAATATTACACTTGAAATATATATAAATTATTGAATGCACTTGACTAAATGACAACTTATGTGGTGTCGTGGCAAATTTAAGTTCAAATTTTACTTTAGATCGCTTGTTCAAATACAAATAAGACAAGTGAGGCTTGCTCAGTTAGTAAAGCACCTTCACCCACGATTGTTAGGTCCTGAGTTCGAGTTATGCTGGAGTAAAAGTGTAGAAACATTATAGATCCTCTTAAATTGGGAGGAATTTTTTATTTAAAAAAAATACAAGTAGGGGTTCTCAATCATAAACTAGTTATAGTGATTAAAGGCGGCGACAAGAATTTTAATAAAGGGATTTCAAAATAAAAAATAAAAAATTGGAGAACCCCTACGGAAGTCCTAGCTGTTTCCAAAGTCCTAAGAACAGTATCAGCGTGGAAATTTCTAATACACATGAATCAGTTTAACCTATACTTTGGTACTGGTTTGAAAATTATATTTCTAGCAACTTTCCAATTTAATCATGTACTCATTAATTCCTTCACGTTTCAAATTTCACATGTAGAAATGGCTAGATTATTACAATGTGGAAATGCAAATGTAACTTGAATTTTCCTCTAAGGGACCAATTCTGACTTTGTGTTTCTGGCCTTTCAAGCAAGAAGCTTCTTTGAAATGATCTTCAGATATAGAATTCCAAATCTCTAAGATAATAATCAATTGTGCACTCATGTAGATAGATTATATATTTCTCTAGCCGAAGGTCTATCAGAAACAGCCTCTCTGCTATTTCAGGGGTAGGGTTAAGACTGCGTACATCTTACCCTCCCCAGATTTCACTTGTGAAAAATTACTGAGTACGTTGTTGTTGTTGTAATAGTATATATGTTGCTTGGAAAGAATTTGGTATTCATCGAGAAGAATGACGTAGAGATTTAGGAAGCAAAGAGAAAAAACAAGAATTAAATGACAAAAAACACTCTAGTATTATATGAAATGTGAACCATAAAAATCTTTCTCAGATAAAGAACCCGGCATAAAGGTAAAATAGATAAAACTAATTAGATGTTCCTAAATTAATGTAGTAGTTAGTGGATTATATACTAAAATATGAAGTGTGAGAGTTGAAGTTCAATTGAAGTGTACTTAATCTTGGGTAATTAATAAAAAACTAATGCAAGGAGACTTTACATTCTTTTGCCATTACAAAAAATCTTCATATATTTAAATTAAGTGGGCGTTTGGACATAAGAATTGTAAAATTTAAAAAAAGAGTGAATTTTTTTTCAAGTGAAAATAGTATTTGAAATTTAGAGTTGTGTTTGGACATGAATATAATTTTGAGTTGTTTTTGAAGTTTTGTGCGTGATCTGAGTGAAAATTTTGAAAAACAGCTTTTGGAGTTTTTCAAATTTTAGAAAAATTTCAAAATGCATCTTCAAGTGAAAATTGAAAATTTTATGAACAAACGCTGATTTTGGAAAAAAGTAATTTTTTTTTAAGAAAATAAAGGAAAAATTTCCTATGTCCAAACGGGCTCAAAAATAAGCTTTTATCTGAATAATAATGTCTAAGAGGTTCACAACAAACCTGAGTTAACAAGATAGAAAATGATGAGGATTGACACACAAATAAAAGTCTAACTATGAACAGTCGGATTACAGCTCAATGATCACTTTAATGGAAAATTTCAAACTGTAAAGTCAAGCATGTCATAGGTCTTTGTGCTTTTCATGTTTTTCTATTAATCCTACTATTCACAATTTTAAGTGGGAATTGGTGTGCTGGAGGGAGGAACCGTTTGGAATACGTAAGAATTGAAAAGACCATACAACAAAATTTCCTTTTATAGAGGGATAAATAGATAGGTTCGGTCCCTTTTGCTAAGTCATATAACCAAAAAGAAGTTAGTCCAAGAGCAATTGAGACACGTACTCTTAATAGTGAAATTTTTTAGGAAAAATCGTGCGGGTTTAGTCTAAAATAAATAATATCATACCATATTAAAAGTATTTTTGAGACAATATTCAATGGTTTAGCGAGATCAATACGAGGATAGCGGAATGATGGTGTTGAGCATAGCTTATTAACTTTCCTTGTCTATGGACTGGTTTATTACCTTTACACGGAATTTAGAAACGCGCACACAAAAAAAAAACATGTGAGTTTGGTATTCATAAATACTCGGATAATATTGGTGGCACACTATTAATCTCAAAATTAGCTCGTGAATAATGATGAGTCATGATATCATGTGGAGCTTAGTTCAATGGAAGAACTTTTCCAAAAAAACGTGCGAGCATGACCACATATAATATTATATTATATTAAAAGTATTTTTGGATCAACTTAACCCTACATTTGGCACACAAAAACATAAAAATAAAATAGAGTATCACACAATGAAATTTTTGTTAACCCGTAAAATAGTATAGTTAAATTTGTTTATAGACACATGAATTAATTTGATTCAGAAATATGAAATAAACAAAAACAAAAGTAAGATTATGAAATAAATTTAAAGGAAAAACAAGCATGGCTATGAACTTAACCTCTCCGGTAACAGAAGTGAGAACAATATTCAAGAATAAAGACAGAGAATAGTATTGTAAGATTAGAGCTGATTTTTGTATACATAATATTTTTTAATTTACAAATAGTGCCAATTCTCCTATTTATAGCTTTATTTAGGAAGACAAGATCCTCAAATCAAGCTCGTCTTGAATGAGAATAAAAACGTCATTGATGGTTGCGTAAGGGTTGGTTATAAATGCAGACATTCTTTGTAACGACTGCTCATTGAATGTTATCCGATGTCAATTCTTTGAACCTTCGTTATCGGCTACTGTGTCTTTGTGATTCATCCAGCACCAGTCACATGCTTGTATCCGATGCCAGCTATTTACTGACTCACATCCCACCCGTCTTCAATTCCACGTGTCACTTCATCATTTGTCCAACCGCCGCTAACCAATTCTACCCCATACCATTTTAAACCTTCTGGATTGCTTTTTTTCTTTCTTTATGAAGTCAGGCTTTGGCATCAAATCAAGCTGAGACGCAGTAATTCATCTTCTGCATTTAGAAGATTTGGCACAAAACTATCCTTCAGTATCACTCTTTTCTTGTGTTAATCTGCTTACCAAATAAGATCCCTTCAAAGGATATTAAGAGATTGAGTAATCAAAATGTCTCGACAGTTTGTTTTGACTATAGGAGCCAAAGCTTCATTAATGTACAGTCATAACTCTCTATAACAACATTCATATATTACGATACCTCACTATAAAAGTCAAGCTTTTCCAGAACCAATTTTTATATTATATTATAATATATGTTCTCTATAATAGCACTTCGCTATAATATTCACAAATATTCGGAATAAACAAGACTGTTATAGAGATTTAACTGTAATACGACAGTAATTGAGTTTCTAGAAGAAATAAAAAGACAAAAGAAATGTAATAAAGATGAAGAGTAGTGAAATAAGCTCCTATGTGGACTATCATTTGAATTAACATCAAAGATTATGGTAAGATTAATAGAATTCTTTTATTTTTAATTCCAGATATTTTAGGTTCGGACTTTAAGAATATGTTTTTTTTTTCCAATAAGGAACATTTCTCTTTTTAATAAATGTTACGCGACATAATTGAAATCCGTCAAGCTTCAACGCAGATACCAAAACCATGTAAACCAAAACAAAGAAGACTATCTTTGAATTTAGTCACGAGACAATTTCTAAGGAAGAAAAAGAAAGATAAAGATGCAATATTCCAAAACAATAAGTAGAACATTATATTTGCTGTCATGTCTCTGTCTCAACCACATTTTCTTGATTCATCACTTCATCAATGAGTAATAATATTAAAATAACATATAACTAAAATAATTGGATATAACATGATATGACCTTATCGGATAAATACTAGAGGACAGAAATTAGTTTCAATTTGTTTTTTCTTGTGGGCAAAAAAGAAAGTTTTCTTCTTATCCAAACCTGTAGGACAGAATAAAATACTCAACGAAATTAATTAACTCTATGTAATTTTGTCCATCTCTTATTACTAAAAATTGAAGTTAAGTACGTTAGCATGATACAATAGTGAGTTAATCTGGATCAAGACAAAACTGTAATTGGCACACTTAATCTATTTATTTGCCTTTAGATATCGCACGACAAAAGAAGATTTGTACGAAGAAACTTTAACTTAAGAATTTAACTTTTATATATTGAACATATGTTTTATACAATTATATTATCTAAAAGATAATTACAAATAACTTCTAGTGGCAGATCCAGGATCTTGTAGTCGTGGGTGCTCCACCTCTTTATCTACAGTTGTTACGGTCATATGCGGATGTAGTGTTCTACCGACGGATTTTATTGAACCCATAATTTTTTACGTAGAGTAAAAATTTATATGTAAACATTCAATAAAATTGCAAAAATAGTGGAT